CGTCAGGAAGAAATTCCGATAGACCACGGCTTCAAAGCCCGGAAAACATTTCTAAATGTAATCTGACCGGCCGTGAAAGCCTTCATAGTCTGACATTTCTAATTAGTTCAACAAATGAAACATTCGTTTTAAAGAGAAATCTACCTATTGTCAATGTATATGATAAGTTTATTATAATACGTGTGTGTGTGTATAGAGAAGTAAGCAGATATGTAGGCATACTTAAAAAAAAACAAATTAAAATCCAACAAAAAATAAACCATTCGCCATTAAGTGGATATTGATTCTTAAACTTGACCCATAAACATCACAGAACAACAAAGTTAGTAAGTGATAAAATTGAAAAGTTTCTAGTAAATAAAACTAATTTTCAATATGGTGAACAAATAATGAAAGTTAAAAATATACCGATTCAGATAATTACAGTGTCTAATCGATATGGTTTAGTCCGCACCAAGATTAGTCTGTTAGCTGCAATAGACGACCAGGTGATCGACGTGAATATTTTTCGTCCTTTGCTCAATCTAAATAAAAACACAGCTATTAACAATTGAAGTAATAATTACTCGAAACGTAACCTTTCTTTTCAAATACAATGATTTGAGCTTGAAAACCATTTCTAATTAGTGCGAGACATGTAACTTTCGTTTTAAACTATCTAGCCATTGTCAATGTATATTATAAGTTCATTAAAATCTTAATTATAACAGGTGTGTGGATAGAAGTAAGCAGGTATCAAGGCATATATGAAAAACAATAGAAGATGCAACAAAAAATAAAACATTCGCCATTTCTTGAATATTGATTCTTCAACTTCACCATAAACATTACAGAACAAAGTAACTGAGTGACAAAATTGCAGTTCCTCGTGAAAAAACTATTGTTAAAAATTTCAACAACAGGATAGATGAAATAATAAAAGTTTACAACATACCTGTTCGGATGATCACAGCGTCTTATACTAAGATTGGCGTGACGGCTACAATAGACGACCAGGTGTGCGACGTGAATGTTTTTCGAGCTTCACTCAATCTGAATGAAAACGCTTCCTTTGGGAATATAAGTAGTTACTGGATAACCAAAGTTTCCAAATTGGCAATGCTAGTATTATCCGTATGATAGATACATGAACGTCGGATTGGCACATTTGGCGGACGCGCTTGGAAACCATTTCTAATGAGTTCTCCAAATAAAACATTCGTTTTACAGGAAACTCTACCTATTGTTCAATGTTTATTATTAATTCATTATAATAGATGTGCGCATAGAAGTAAGCCGGTATGTAGGTATATTTGAAACGCAATTTAAAATGCATAATAATAAATTATTCGCCATTATGTTGAAATTGTTGACTCAACCCAACTCAACATTATACAGAACAAAGTTATCAAAAGTGATAAAATTGGAGATAGGATTACTCATTAGGATAACCACCTTTAGGTCACCATTAGGATAAACCCTATAATAAAATTGAAAAACATACCAAATTCGATTAAGTGTCTAATCGCTATTTTAAGTCCGGACTAATATTGTAATGTTGCCTGCAATAACCAAACCAGAAGTTCGACGTGAAAGTTTTCCGGCTTCACACAATCTGAAACAAAGCGCTGCCATTAGTAACGTAAGTAATTACTGGATAAGTAACGTTTCTCACCAAAAAAAGTTTTCAAATTTACGATTGTCCATCTTGGTGATAATAAATATATGAACCACATGTTGCTGTTGCAGTATAATTGCCACATGTTGGTAAATGCGTTGCAAATAATCGGTAATTGGAACTAAAAATGAAACGTGCAATTTAAACGCTGCCGTTAGTAATGTAAGTAATTACTGGATAAGTGACGTTTCTTACCAAAAAAGTTTTCACATTTACGCTGATTGTCCATCTTGGAGATAATAAATACATTAACGTATAATTGCCACATGTTGGTAAATGCGTTGCAAATAATCGGTAATTGAAACTACAAATGAAACGTGCAATTTAAACGCTGCCGTTAGTAATGTAAGTAATTACTGGATAAGTAACGTTTCTTACCAAAAAAAGTTTTCACATTTACACTGATTGTCCATCTTGTTGATAATAAATACATGAACGTATAATTGCTACATGTTGGTGAATGCGTTGCAAATAATCGGTAATTGGAACAACAAATGAAACGTGCAATTTAAACGGAAATCTACTCATTGTTAAAGTGGGTTGTAAATTCATATTAGAAAACAGTACTTACTAGGATTAA